CCTGGTATTTATTTTTAATGTAAAAAAATAATTATTTTATAAATACATTTTATATAATTATAAATTTATTTTCTAAAATCTAAAGATTTGAGTTACTACGCATTTTCAATTAATTATTAAGAATTACTTCGTAACTAATTTTTATATTTATAAAATGTTAATATTTTGAGTGTAGAAAGCACTTGAGTAATTCAATTAGTTAATTCGAGTAAGAATTCGAGTAGTGAACTCGAGTATATATAATTTGAGTCTATGAAATTTTGATTCGAATCAAAATTTAACTCGAGTTGACTTGAGTTACACGAATACAAGTCCAGTCTCTACTAAAGAAACTAAAAAAGAAACAAAAAAAAGACAAAAAAAAATTAAAGAAAAAAATAAAACTAAAAAATGTAATAAAATAAAAGAATACAAATGAAAAACAAAGAAGAAGCGAAAAATAAAAAAAAAATAAAAGAAACGAAAATTAAAAAGCAAAAAAATAAAATGATAACGAAAAAATAAAAAGAAAAAATGTTTAAAAAAATGATAGAACGAAAAATAAAAAATTAAAAAAAAAATTTAAAAAGAAAAAAATCAAATAAAAGTAAAAGAAATAAAAAGAACGAAACAAATGAAGCAATAAAATGAAATAAACGAAGAAAATGAAGCAAACGAAGGATATGAAGGATATGAAGGATATGAAGGATATGAAGGATATGAAGGATATGTAGCAAAAGAAGCAATCGAAACAAATTAAGCAAACGAAGGATACAAAGGATACAAAAAAAAACAAAATAAAAAATAAAATTTAAAAAAAAAGGGTTTAGGGGAAATTAAAGGGCGAACGAAAAAAAAAATAATTAATTTAATAAAAAAAACTGGGGGGATTTGGAAAATAAAATCGAAATAATGAAATAATTAAATTAAAAAAAAATATATAAAATATTTTTTTTTTTTGTCCAGTCACGAAAAAATCACATTATTAAATTAACCAAAAAATAAAAAATAAATTTAAATTCTATTATTCTATTATTGAAAAATTTTGAAAATAAAAATCGAGATACCCTAAAAAAAAAAAATAATTATAATAAATCAAATAACCGATAATCTGTAATCAAATTCTATTAAAAAAAATAAACAAATAAAAAAAAACTAATTTTAAAACAATCAAAATAAAAATTGTATTATGCATTCATGTATGCATGTTTGCAGTATTTAATTATATGTAGCATTTATCATATTACTAACAAATCCTATATACAAGCATGCATGTATGCAATAACAAATCATGTTTGCATTCTTTTTTTTTAGTAATTTTTAAAAAAAAAATAAATAAAATCATTGTAATTTTTAAAATTTGATTTTTTAACAACATTTTTTTACATTTTTTTTTATTAATAAAAATAAAACTTTTATTTATTAAAATTTATAAATTTTATCTACAAATAAGATGTCAGATTTTATAACATTAGAAGATATTGAAGCTAAATATCCAGAATGTGAAAATGAAACTAAAGAAAAAAGAAATAAAAGGGAGCCAGAAATAGATTTTTTGATCAACAAGTAAGAGAAGAAAGTGTAAAAGCTAGATCATCAAATAGAACAAGATATTCTTTTTTTTAAAAAATCTTTAAAAAAAATAAATAAAATTGTTTACAAAATTTTTTTACATTTTTTTATTAAAATTTATTAATTTATTTACAAATAAGATGACAAAATTTATAACATTAAAAGAAATTGAAGCTGAATATCCAGAACGTGAAAATGAAACTGTAAAAGTAAGAAAAAAAAGGCAATGTAATATTAGACAAGTTAGAAAAAGATTTCTTAATCAACAAGCAAGAGAAGAAAGTATAGAAGTAGGACCATCAAGTAAAATAAGATCACAAACACAAAGAAAGATTTACGATCACAATAGATATATTGCAAATAAAAAACAAAAAAAAACTTATGATCATAATAAATATATTGCAAAAAAAGAAAAATTAATAGTCAAATTTTTAAAGATAGGACATTGTAATATAGATAATTATACAGAAGATAAAGTAGAAAACAGTAGATATATATTTGAAAGAATGAATAATATTTGTGAATACTATTATGCTTTAAAATGAAAAATAAAACAAAATGATTCTATTGTTTAAATGGATAGGTTATATTAGCACCTCTCCTTCCAGCTCCACTAATTTTGTATAATTACTTACACAAAATAATTCAATATCAGATGAACCTTATATAACTCAAATAAGAGCTTATAATCAAGTTCTTGCATTTACATCTTTAGATGTAAACCTTAATGAAGAACTTGCAAATGCCAAAAAGAGGATTTATATATTTAGAATTCAAGGTAAATTATATTATCAGATTAGTATTCTAATGCTAAGAGATAATAATCAAAAACTAACATTTGCTCAAATTTACTTTTATGATTTAAATATGAATAATCAACTTCAAAGAAGACAAGAAATATTTTCAAATTTGAATGCTGAAATGCTTATAATATTACAAGATGAATTATCAGTAAACAATCCATTTGTTGAGCAATTGTAACCTCAGGAGTTAAAGCCAAAGTGAATATAATAATTTACAATGAAGAATAGTAATTCATAATATATATGGCAAGAATATGAGATAATATAACAAATCAATAGTATCAGAAGTTGCAATTTTCATCTGTGACTATGACATTCAACCTGAATATTAAGATATTGTTATTTAAACTCATGAAAGACAATTAAAATATATCTCTAAATTAAATGGTACTTATGATCCATTACAATATTCTTTATTATTTTCTTATAGTGAATATGGATGGTATTAAAAATAGTGTTGCAATCAGTTGTAACCGGTAATAAATAAGCATTATAGGATTGCAACTAATTGCAACATTAATAAAAATTAAGTTGCAACTAGTTGCAACTGGTAACAAATAAGCATATATAGTTGAAACTAGTTGCAGCATCATCTTTAGATGGTATGATAACATTTTGAGAGCAAATGTAATTGATTCTATACCTGAATCTGAATTTGAATTAATAATAAACTGCACATTGAAGAAGAAATTATATAAAATTTTGAAAATCTTGATTTAGAATCTGTCTCAACTAAAAATTAAGGTAAAAAAAGAGCATATACACCTGATAAAAAAGTTTATAAAGTTAATCCTATTATTCTTAACAATAATGATAATGATGAAGTAAATAATGATGATAAGAAAATTGAACCTGTAGATAATGATGATAAGGAAATGAAACCTATAGATGATGAAGAATTGGAAAATTTACCAAGAGAAAAAAAAAGAAAATGGTGACAATTAGAAAATTTGCAGTATATCAAATGCAAATTAGGGATTCAAATAAAATAAAAGTATATTACATTTTGCTGAAAGATTATTTTAGCAATATTTAGTAAATCAATATGCTAAAGATAAATCAAATCATTTAAGATGGTATAGAAAAATGCAACAACATTATAAAAGTAAATTATATTTAGGTTTGCATGAAATTATCACTGATGAAGATTTTTATAAAGATAAGATTGGAAAAAAAATAATCTTACCATCTTCATTTACTAGATGAACAAGATATATAATAAATGTATCAAGATTTTATGATAATTGTTAGAGAATATGAAAATCTGATTTATTTGTCACTGTTACTTGCAATTTCAATTAGCCAGAAATTAAAGCTAAACTCTTGTCAAACTAATAAGCAAGTGATCAACCTGATATTATTTCAAAGGTATTTAAATTAAAATTAAAAGAAATCACTTATGATCTTTTTGTAAAAGGTAGTTATTCTCCATGTACATGTAATTAAATTCCAAAAAAAGAGAATTGCTACATATGCATATTTTAATGATCTTATTAGTTAAAGATAAACTAAAATCACTTGAAGATTTTGATAAGATAATATGCGCAGAGATTTCAAAGATATTTAACTATTATTATATAATACAATTACTAGAAATATGATTCATGAATCTTGTATAAACTTGAATCCTGAATCTCCTTACATAATAAATAGTAAATGTAGCAAACATTATCACAGAAATATTACTGAAAAACAATAATAAATAAAAATGGATATCTAATATATAGAAGAAGAGACAATGGAAAAACAGTTAAAAAAGGAAAATTGAATATAGATAATAGATGGATTATACCTTATAATCCTTATATTTGTTAAAAATATAACTATCATATTAAAGTAAAAATATATTCAAGCATTTGTTCTGTGAAATATCTTTACAAATAAGTTTACGAAGGACCTAATTGCATAATGGGATCTATTAAAAATGATAAAATCACTTAACATTTAAATGCAAGATATGTTTCTGCCATTAAAGCATTCTGAAGATTATTTAATTTTGGTTTACAAGAAAGATTACATAAAATTGAATGACTTTCAGTTTATTTATTTAATCAACAAAATGTTATCTTTTAAGAAAATGAAGATCTTTTTAATATTTTAAAACAATCCTCATATACAAAATTAACCCATTATTTTGAAATATATGTAAATAATCAAGATGATTTAAATATAAAAAATTTGTGTTATATTGATTTTTCAAACACTTTATCTGAAAAAATGGAAACTGGTAACAAAGAAAAAGAGGTAGTAATAAAATAATTTTATGAATGTATACTTGCAGTCTGAGAGACAAAGAAAGATTTTATTTAAGAATTTTATTATTTCAAATTTATAGTGCTATATCTTATGAAGCTGCACATACCATAAATAGAAAATATTTATGATACATTTGAGGAAGCAGTAAAACAACTTGAATTATTAGATAAAGAAAATAATGAATTTGATAAATATTTTGACAAGGCTGCAACATATCAAATGCTATCAAAACTAAGATAACTATTTGCCTCTATATTAATATTTAGTGATTCAAGAGAGTTAAATGCTTCTCAACTTTTAAAAGATCACTTAAATAATTTATTTGAAGATTATTTAAATGAATAACAACAACAAAAATACTGAAGATTTATCTGATAAAAATTATGCAATCATAATTACAAAAACACTAATATATATTGAAAAATATTATTATCTTATAAAAGAAGTTTGACTGATTATGATATTTTTCCTCCAATTATTCTTTTCTTGAAAATAATAGAGGATTTACAAAATCAGATTTAATAATGAAAGAACTTAATTATAATTTTAATAAATTAAAAGCTCTCATAAATAATGAAAATGATTTAAATCTTGATCAAAAAAACATTTATAACGCAATCATTCAAGTTTTTAATAAAGAAATAGATGAAATAATATTTTTTTGTCAATGGCCCTGAAGGTTATGAAAATACCTTTTTATTCAATATGATTTTGGCAAAAATAAGAGCATTTGAATGACAAAATTTATTATCTGAAATGAAATACAAAAAGCACATAGGTTTGCCTTTGAAGCTATTAAAAGAACCTTTAGGAATGTAATTGATAATAAAAAACCATTTGGGTGTATAATTGTTGTCTTAGGTGAAAATTTAGGCAAATCTCACCTATAGAAATTCGAGAAAGACGTGAACAAATTACAAATGATTGCATTAAGAATTCAGATTTATGGAAATATGTTAACATTATATATTTGACTATTAATAATCATAAGATGATGAGCAAAAACAATTTGTAGATTATTATTACAAATTGGTGAAAGAAAGGAGTTGTTATATCCTGAATTTGGTGAAGGTATCATCAGATTACAAGATGATATAATCTTTAATGATGAGGAAATTGAATTATTAATATCAAAGATTTTTATAATATTAAATGATAACTTTAATGATTATGCAAATTATATTAATTATATTAAAGATCGAGCGATTCTTAAGGTAAAAAATGATGATGTTGACAATATTAATGAACAAATTATCAACATTTTTCCTGAATAATCTCAAGTATTCTTATTAGCAGATTCTGTTGATGAAAAAGAGGCAGTCATCAAAATCTTTATCCTATAGAATTTTTGAATACATTAACACCATATAGAACACCTTCTCATTATTTGGTACTTAAAGTTGGAGTTCTTATCATGCTCTTAAGAAATATTAATCCAAAAGAAGGACTCTGCAATAGTATTAGATTGATTATAAAAGGATTTCAATTGCATGTGATAGATGCAAAAATCTTAACAGGCACTCATTATGCAAAAAGAGTATTTATTCCTCGAATTAAATTAACTCTATCAGATATAGATTTGCCATTTCAATTAATCCATCGCCAGTTTCCAATTCGTTTGGCCTTTGCTATGACCATTAATAAGGCTCAAGATCAAACAATATTACATATGGGATTAAACTTGCCTAATCCTGTATTTTCTCATGGAAAATTATATGTAGCATTATCAAGGATTCAATCAAAAAATAATATCAAAGTCTTAGTTAAAGATGGTCAGGTTAAATATAAATCAGGTGTATACACAAAAAACATTGTATATAAAGAAATTTTATAATTTAAATCATTTGTATATATTTTCAATTCATTTGTATATAATTTTAAAAGTATTATATTATTTAATTATTTGTATATAATTTTAAAAGTATTTAGTTTTATTTTATTATTTATTTTAATTTGTAAATTATTTTTAATTTTATTATTTTAATTTGTATATAATTTTAGTTTTATTATTTATTTTAATTTGTATATATTTAACATACTATAATAAAGGAGGATCAATGTTTATTGTAAAAAAAAAATTTAGTGCGATTTTATTAGTTTGAACCGAATTTCTGGGCATTTGAGCGATGAAAAAATTTCCTTTTCCTCAAAAAATTCTTCTTTTTAGGCAATTCATGTAACGCTAACGACCGGCCATTATTATATACCTTATTATTACCTTACACTAACACTAACACTAACACTAAATCTAACTTTAACACAAACAATAACTAACTCTAACACTAAAAGGTGGAGGATAAGGTAGAGGTAAAGGTAGAGGAGGAATCTACCTCAAGGAATAAAGGTTGTTTAAATATTTTTTAAATAAAGAAAAGATCCCGATCGGTCGGTCCATCGCGGTGGTGCAGTCAGATGCATGATTAAATTGGTTTTATTTTTATTTTTAAATATTATGTATTGTTTATTCCTATTAATTATTTATTTTTTAATTAATAATGTCAGTTCATAATTATTGATTAAATAATTTTATTTATTTTTTTTTAGTTTATATTTTATAGGTTAGATCGAGAGATTCTCCACTTTGAATTGTCGTGGCGACGCAGTAAGGTGGGTAACTTTT